ACACACACACACACACACACACACACACACACACACACACACCCCAGCACCTTGAAGGGCTTGACCCTATAAATAACAGAGCCATAGCTCTGTTAATAACAGTCCCCATAGCCAGATGAGCAGAGCTGCCATTTTCCTCTGCATTCATCCCACTTGTTGCTATTCCATGGAGATCCTGAAGAGTTGCCATCATAACATAGAAAGAGTGCCAGAGTGAGAAATGACAAGTCAGGTACAAATTCTAATCCTGCCACTTAGTAGCTGCATAAGCACAGGCAGAAAGAGGAGATGGGTGGATGAAAACAATCTGTTCCAACAGCCACGAAGGTGGCTGAAGCAGGCGCTGAAGCAAGCTTATTCAGAGCTTACTCAGACCTCAAAGGCGCCAATATCATCTACTACATCCTGAACTACTACCAGTCATCTTGACTTTTGTCTTGCCACTGAATTTTGATGACAGGAAGAGAGAGTGAGGCTGATGACTTTGTGCAACTCTGCCTCACTCAAATCCTACTCTGTAAGTCAAAATGTCACCCCCTGATGTCATTGGGTATCTTCAAAAACACAGGACCAACAACAGAAGCCAGGGGCAAGGCCTTAACCCCGTTTCCTCACCCATAAAATGGAGATAATAGTCCCACTACCTGGCTCCCAGGATAGTTGTTTGTAAATGAGTTATTGCTATATTGGCATGTTCCAGTAAGCATGGGCCCATGGTTCCTTTCAATGACCCTTCACCACCGCAAAGGTCCATCTGTCAGCAATGCTCTGCGATCGTACGTAGTGGAACACTATCATCTCAGAGGAGTGTTGATTGCAAGGAAATTAAAGGATAATGGGAAGAAGCCCAGTAGTTATAAGAAGGCCGAAGCATATTATGAGTGATGACATGTATGTAAAAACAAATAGATTGTCCCAAAGATAAGCGGTCAAAAGACATAAACTGTTTTCCAAAGAGAAATTGAAAAGTATCAACAACCATATTAAAAAAAACCCAAAATATTCCAAATCACTAATCCTAAAAGAAATGCACAGCAGAATGGCTGTTGAAAAGATGGCTGGACAGTCAAATGAAGCAGGAGCCAGCTAAGCTATAAAAGGGGCCACTAGAGACACTCACCAATCCCAAGGATCCCAAGACAGGAGTTCCAGAGCTCAAAGGGTCTCTGGTCTAGGTGGCAAGGGGACCAGTGAAATGGCGAGCTGATGGGAAGCGACGGACAGAGCCCTGGACATGGAGTCAGGACTACCTGAGTTCAAATCCAGCCTCAGACACTTACTGGCTGTGTGACTAGGCATGTCACTTCACTGATATTTGCCTCAGTTTCCTCATCTGTAAAATGGGGGTAATAATAGCACCCAACTCCCAGGACTGTCGTGAGAATCAGATGAGATAGTAATTGTAAAATGTTTAGCACAGTGCTAGGCTCATAGTAAGTACTATATAAATGGTAGATATTTTAAGCTATTAAGAAAGATGACTGTAGAAATGTAAATTAAAATGAAACTGAAAGGCAGACGAACCCTGATTAAAAGCAGTGACCAGTATTGTCACTAGAGGACAGATGATAAAGCATACCTCTCCTCTTTTTGGTAGAAAGGTGGGATACTTATGAGCAGCAATGTGTGTGGGTAGACAGCTAGGTAGCACAGTGGATAGAGTACTGGACTTAGGAAGACCTGAGTTCAAATCCTACCTCAAATATTTACTGTGTGACCCTGGCCAAGTCACTTAACCTCATCTACCTCGGTTTCTTCATCTGTAAAAAGAGGAGATACGATTCAATGACCTCCAAGGTCTCTTCCAACTCTAAATAATTCTGTGATTTTTTTTTAACCTGTTTTGTTTGCAGCCAAACAATCTCAACTTTAGTCAGGTAATAACGTTTCCATTACTCTTCAAGGGAAAAAAAAAAGAGATCTTATAATTCTTTGTTTACAAGTAGGTTTCTGATGAATGAGGAAGTGGGGCATCTTATCAGGAAATGTCTGTAGCATTAAAAAGAAGAACTGAAGGCATCAATACTTTTAAGTAGTGCAAGAAACAATTACCAAGGATGCATAAGAATAGGAAGGATGTGGGCCTGTTGTGTAGCTAGGGTGGGAGCTAACTGATTGGCTGCCTGAGAGCTCAGCCGGGATCCACAAAATACTAAAAGAAGCAGAAGCAGAAGCAGGGCCCCAGTCCATTCAATGAAACATTTACAAAAAGGTCCTAGGATCCCAGGGCAGAAGCTCCCCATTGATGAGGTCACCAATCCATCAAAGGAGTCCAGCATTCCCTTTTCTCAGACCAGGTCCAAGGTAGTCAAAATTGAGGCTCTCTTCCTCTATGAAGCCTTCCCTAAGAGCACTGGTATCTCTGACTCAAAAGACCTGGGTTTCTCTCCATCTGTGTGTCCCTGGACCAGTCACCTCACTCCCTCAGTTTCCTCAGCTATAAAGTGAGGAAAAGTAACACCTACCTCCCAAGGTTGTTGTGAAGATAATGTAAGCAAAGTACTTTACAAAGCTTAAAGTGCTATAAATAAAGGTGAGCAGGTATTATTATTAACTGCACTGATTCTCACTCAGAAAGTGTAGGGGGAAGGGAATAAGCATTTATTAAGCAACTACTATGTGCCAAACTTTGTTCTAAGCACTTTTACAAATATTATTTCATTCAATCCTCACAACAACTTTGGCGAGGTAGGTGCAAAATTATTCCACTTTACAGATGAGGAAACTGAGACAGAGAGGTTAAGTGATTCGCCCAGGGTCACCCAGCTAAGAAGTGTCTGAGGCCACATTTGAACTCAGGTCTTCCTGACTCCAGGCCCAGCATTTGACCCTGTGCCACCCAAATGCCTAGGCTTCGTAAACATAAAGGGTTCTATGGGTTGGGTCCTACCCAACCCGTATTTCTCAGCCCATTTAATTCTTGCCATAAATCAATGCTCTGATTCCTGTAATATCTTGGCGGGGCGGGGTGGGGTATTAGGCATAATGATGAGATATTAATACCTCTCTGCAGCTTAGATTGTTGCATCCCTTCAATGACAGATACAGCTCTTCGGTCTTGGGGATTAGAATGTCTCCCATGTTCCAGCTTCCTTGTTTGTCCCTTCCCCAGCTTAGGATGCAAGTTCACCAAAGGCAGGGACCAGATCTGTTTTGTGAAGAGTGACATGTGTCGACCTGAAAGTTGGTTAAAGAGGCAACAAGCTAGGTGATAAGTAAATTCATGTTGTTTATTCCCTTAAGTTAGCGACATGTGCATGGAGCCAGAGCTTTAACTCTGAGTGAATCAAGCAATTTTAGGAGGACATTTAAACCTTGACTCAGGATGTCTGTGTTACTCAGATTTATGGTCTCTGTATATGTTTAACCACAGCATGAGAAAGGAATTTTCTTAATTGAATAGGTTGTAAATACAATAGGATAGGAAAATGTCAAAGTGTCAGTTGAAATTATAGATCCGGGATATCTGTGTTTCCTTTACCGTTAACATGACATAGCACAGTATATGTCCATAAAATACCAAGATAAGAAAAGTCCCATTATTCAAGGTAGTGTCTGGGTGAAGGCGCCTTAGTGCTTATAAAGAGAAGAATGCTGGTCAGCTTCATCTGGTCCTGTAGTTGCTGACAGAGGAAGAGGCATTTTGAGTTCACTCAGAGAACAAAGAAAAAGCATGTCTATTATGTTGGGGTGCTTCTTCTGGTTGATTAGTTCAGGCTTTGGCACTTATTGGGGCTCAAATGAACTTAAATGATTGTCACATGGAATAAGGGAAAGAGCATTGGACCAGGGGTCAGAAGACCTGAGCTGGAGATCTGGCTCTACTGTACCTTCCCTGTGTGACCCTTGGGGAAAGCCCCACCCTCTCTGAGTCTCACTTTCCTCATCTGTATAATTTCCACTTGCACTAACAGGCTTATAAATGAGGAAAGTAATTTGTAAACCTCAAAAATGCTATAGAAATGTGCTTATTTTAATAATAATAATAATAATAATAAATTATAAGAGAGGCCATGTGGTATAGCAGATAGAAGGTGATCCTTAAAGTGAAAAACGCCTGGCTGGTTTCAGGTTCTGTTTCCAACACACACTGGCTGTGTGTGACCCCAGGTAAGTTACTAAGTCTCTCAGTGGCCAGGGCAGCTCTCTAACTTGCTGAGAAGATGCCCATCTGCCCAGGGCCAGGGAGTTCCCAAAGCAACAAAGTCACCAGGTCTGTCAATAAATAAACAAATAAGTATCGCTCTCAATAGCAATCCTTCCCATCTCATTTGTCTTTGCTTTTTTGTCTGTTTCTTTTTGCACAGGATTGAGGAAAAAAAAAGGCTCGAATTCCACACACCCAAAGCTGTCAGTCAAGATGAGCGCAATTTACAGCTAAAGAAGAAAATCCAGGAGATGATGGCACAGAGGCGACAGCAGGTTGATAGCCTGAAGGCCAGACCCCAGAAGGCCAAGCCAGAGCTAGAACCATGGCTCAGGCCCAAGGTGAGCTCTTCCTGAGACAGAGATGGGCTTTGTAGAGTGTGCTCTGGCTCACACTGAGACAGACAAATGCAGGAGTCCTGGCTTTCCAGCATGGCTTTCCTGCTAAAAAGTGTGTTTCTACAGCACTTGGGGACTAGTGTAGGAAGGATGAGTTGGCCTATGGGGACCAGCCCAGGGACATGCTCAGAGGTGCCTTTCCTGGTTCCAGGGGCCTCACATGGTAGCTTTGGGCTCTGCTTCCAGCCTTATGCAACTCAGAACTGAACCCTGGCCAAACCCCCATACTGCAGGGTACAGAAAGTGGGTATTATGCCCTAACCTCTTTAGGCTCAAATGATTCTAGAAAGCTAAACTTATAAAGTATTTCTTTGGGGTGGGCATAGTGGTATATATACATGTGTTACTGAAGCTGTTGGATTGCTTGAACTTGTGAGTTCTGAGCCACAGTGGCCTAAAGTATAACACCAATATGGTGGGCTCTGGCAGGTGGCAAAGACAGGGGTAGGGAGTGCAGGTTGCCTGAGGAGGGGCAACCTGGTCCAGATTGGAAAGAGAGCAGCTAAAAGCTTCTGTGCCAGTAAGTGGTAGCTTCAGGCCATGAGTGGCCTCTGCACTTCCAGCCTGGGTGAGATAAGGGAGACCCAGAACCTCATACGCACTGCCCCAAAAAGGTACCTTTCTCTCAGCCCAAAATCAACATAATTATCCCTCTTTTAAAGATGAAAATCATGGAGTCATAGATTTAGAGCTGGAAGGGACCTCATAGTTAGCTGGTCCAAGCCCCTGATTGGTTACATATATGTGGTATGTAAGTCGACTCTTAGAAGGAACTTTAAAACCAGACCTTTGGAGCCAGGATTTTGTTCTGGTCAAAACTTGCTCTGGGTCAGCAGAGGATATGACCTGAGACCATGAAAAGTCCACTATGCCAGTAATACTCCCTGGGACCTATAGGGCAACTTGAGTTTCCCCATGTGGAAGGCAGGTGGGGGGCCCATGTTCTGGTACAGTGATGGTCTTGTCTTTTCCTTTTCCCAGACTCCTTTTGAAGAACGCCACTGGAAAATATTGGAGGAGAGCCGGGAAAAAGTTTACAAGAAACTCCAGAGAAACACAGCTACCAGAGCAGCAGAGCAGAGAGAGGAGTACTATGTGTCAGCCCTGAGTGGAGCTCAGCCTTGCATCCTGAGGTCTTAAAGTGCCAAATACTTTGTTCTGCCCACAGTCCCCTGGGAGCTAGACTGCCGCCCCGGGGGATTTGGATACACAGTGAAGATAGCCAATTGGCCTTCCAAGAAGCCTGGTTCCTAGAACATTCAAGGGCTGTCACAGAGATAGGAAGGGATAGTAAGTCAGGGTGGGGAGGAGCAGGAATAAAGAAATAAAGGACATTGGCTAGGGAGTCCTGGAACATCTACTGTGTGGCTTCAGCATCAGAGCTACACGCTGTTAGTAGTTTTCTTGAGGAGTTAAAATATGTGAGTACAAAGTCAGCCCCTCAGCTTTGGGTCGTCCCACCTTTTTTGTGATCTATTTCTGACCTCCTCGCTTCCTCAGAACCCTCCACAATCCATATACTGGTGTTCTCTCCCAGACAGATGTTCTGTTGTAGGAATGCCTTTGCTGTATTCCCTGCCAAGCCTGCCTCTTTGTTTCTGAGAAGGAAACATATTTGTAGGGTTGGTGTTTCACATGACCAATATGTTGATTTGTTTGTGCTTAATAATACTTCTTTGTTACAAAGTAGGATTTTTCTTGGGAGTGGGGGCTTTTGGGGTTACTGAGTAGTGATAAATATGAAAAAAAATCAATAAAATGTTTTTCTTTTAAACATACAGAAGAAAAAAAAGAAGTCCAGAAGAGCAAGGGGGACCACCACTCATCCCCCTCATGTGCACTAGGCTTCTCCACCTGATTCCTTCACTCACACTGTTCCTTATAGCCTGAATGAGTTGATGCTCCCATCCCACCCCATGCCATCCCATCCCAACACATCCCACCCCATCCCATTCCATCATCACCACACAGCTGTGGTTTACTGGAAAGAGGACTGGCTTTAAAATAAGAAGACTTGGGCACAAAACCTGCCACTACCACTTAATTACCTGTATGACCTCAAGCCAGGCCTTCTCCTTTTCTGGGCCTTCATTTACTCATCTTTAAGAAAAGAGGATGGGACCAGATGATCTTCCAGACCTGTGGTTCTGTTCATCCTTGATGACCCATTTTAAATGCCACCTCCTTGAGGAAGCTTTCCCTTATAACCCTTCCACTGCAAATCAGAAATGACACAGCAGAATCTCACTGGGGAAGCGAGGGTCAAGAATCAGAATGGGTTGATTCTGTGTGGGTGCATGATCTCAACAAAAAGCTTTCCTGCTTTGGACAGCCAAAAAGAGGTTTGCACCAGGAAACTCCTATACAGGCAGTGGCAAGTAGGGGTAGAAGAAGGAGAGGTTGGAGCAGGAGAGTGTCACAGAGTAGTAGACTGAGCAAGAAGAATTCTTCAGTGGCTTGCAAGGCTTGGAACTGAATGGGCCTGGGGCAGCCAGGTGGCCCAATGGATAGAGCACTGGCCCTGGAATCAGGAGGACCTGAGTTCGAATTCAGACATTTGACACTTACTAGCTGTGTAACTTTGGGCAAGTCACTTAACCCCATTGCCTAGCCAAAAAAAAAAAAAGAAACAAAATGAAAAAAAAATTGAATGGGCCAGATTCTTATGTTGCCTTTATTTTGTGTTTTGTGGATGTATGCAAATTTTGTCCCACCCTCCTTTTTGGAGAAGGGGCTCGTTTGTTCTATCAGTTATTGTCATTCCCAGTCTTCACTGGGCTTTTGGGGTCAGTCCCTGTCCTTCAGCTAAGGTACAAGGGTATTAAAGTTATCCATAGTCTTTCCATGATCCAGGCAAGGGAGTAGGAGAACAGGCATCCCTTCAATTTCCAATTCTTTGCACAAATAGCTGCTATAAATATTTTTGTACATATAGGTCCTTTTTTCTATTATTTTTTAATCTCTTTGGGATACAGACCTAGTAGTGGAATTGCTGGGTCAAAGGGTATGTACAGTTTTATAGCCCTTTGGGCATACTCCCAAATTGCTCTCTGGAGTGGTTGAATTAGTTCACAATTCCATAAACAATGCATTAGTGTCTCAATTTTCCCATATCCCTTCCAACATTTGTCATTTTCCTTTTCTGTCATATTAGCCAATCTGATAGGTGTGGGGTGGTACCTCAGAGTTGTTTTAATTTGCATTTCTCTAATCAATAGTGATTTGGAGTACCTTTTTTTCATGACTATATGTAGCTTTGATCTCCTTGTCTGAAAACTGCCTGATCATATCCTTTAACCATTTATCAATTGGTGAATGACTTGTATTTTTACAAGTCTGATTCAGCTCTCTATGTATTTGAGAAATGAGGCTTTTATCAGAGAAACTTGTAAAAAAATTCTCACAGTTATGATTACTGTATATTTCCCTCTATCATATTTTCCCCCTGTTTATTCTACTCTCTCTCTCCTTTCAAATTGTCCATCCTCAAAGTGTTTTGCTTCTGCCTATCATCTCGCATTCCCTTTAATCAGCCCCCACCTTCTCTTATCCCCTTCCCCTCCTACTTTCCTGTATGATAGATGATACCCAACTGAATGTGTATGTTATTCTTTCTTTGAGCCAATTCTGATGAGAGTAAGGTTCAAGCATTGCCCACCCCATTTTTTTCCTTCATGGTAAAAGCTCGTTAGTGTTTCTTTTATGTGACGTAATTTGACCCTTTCTACCTCTCCTTTCCCCTTTCTTCCAGTACATTCCTCTTTCTCACTCCTTAATTTTATTTTTTGAGATGTCATTCCATATAGTCAACTCACATGTATGCCCTCTGTCTATGCAGACTCCTTCTAAATGCCCTAATAATGAGAAAGTTCTTAAGAGTTATAAGTATCATCTTCCCACATAGGAATGTAAACAGTTTAACCTTATTGAGTTCCTTATGATTTCTCTTTCCTGTTTACCTTTTTATGTTTCTCTTGAGTCTTTTATTTGAAAGTCAGATTTTCTATTCAGCTCTGTTCTTTCCATCAGGAATTCTTGAAAATGCTCTATTTCATTGAATATCCTTTTTTTTTTTTTCCTGAAGGATTATATTCAGTTTTGGTCGGTAGGTGATTCTTGGTTGTAATTCTAGCTCCTTTGCCCTGTGGAATATCATATTCCAAGCCCTCTGATCCCTTAATGTAGAAGCTGCTAAATCTTGACTGTGGCTCCAAGATATTTGAATTGTTTCTTTCTGACTGCTTGCAATATATTTTCTTCTCCACCCAAAAGCTCTAGAATTTGACTATAATATTCCTGGGAGTTTTCATTTTGGGATGTCTTTTAGGAGGTGATAGGTCTATTCTTTCAATTTCTATTTTACTCTCTGGTTCTAGAATATTAGGACAGCTTTCCTTGATAATCTTGAAAGATGATGTCTATGCTCTTTTTTGGCTTTCAGGTAGTCCAATAATTTTTTTTTGGCTAGGCAATGGGGTTAAGTGAGTTGCCCAGGGTCACATAGCTAGTTAAGTGTTAAGTGTCTGAGGCCAGATTTGAACTCAGGTCCTCCTGACTCCAGGGCCAGTGCTCTATCCACTGTGCTACCTCGCTGCCCCCAAGTCCAATAATTCTTAAATTATCTTTCCTCAATCAGTTGTTTTTCCAATGAAATATTCCACATTTTCTTCTACTTTTTCATTTTTTTAAATTTTGTTTTATTGTTTCTTGATGTTTCATAGAGTCATTAGTTTCTACTTACCTGATTATAACTTTTAAGGAATTATTTTCTTCCGTGAGCTTTTGTATCTCCTTTTTTACTTTGCAATTCTACTTTTTAAGGAATCTTTCCTTTAGGGAATTTTTGTAAATTTTTTTCCATTTGGTTAATTCTGTTTTTTTTTTTTTTAAGTAGTTCTTTTCTTCAGTGGATTTTTGTGCCTCTTTTACCATTTGGTCTATTCTGTTTTTTCATGTGTTACTTTCTTCAGTATTTTTTTTGTGCCTCCTTTACCAAGCTGTTGACTTTTTTCATGATTTTCTTGCATCACACTCATTTCTTTTCCTAATTCTTCTCTATCTCTTTTATTTGATTTTTGTTTTTTGTTTTTGAGAGGCAATGGGGTAAGGTAACTTGCCCAGGGTCACACAGCTAGTAAGTGTTAAGTGTCTGAGGCCAGATTTGAACTCAGGTCTTCCTGAATCCAGGGCCAGTGCTCTATCCACTGTGCCATCTAGCTGCCCCATCTTTTATTTGATTTTTTTTCTTTTCTTTTTCTTTTATGAGGCAATTGGGGTTAAGTGACTTGCCAGAGTCATACAACTAGTGTATTTGATTTTTAGAAGCCTTTTTGAGCTCTTCCAAGAATTTTTAGGGGGGATTGAGACCAGTTCTCATTTTTCTTTGAGACTTTGGATGTTGCAGTTTTGACTTTGTTGTCTTCTTCTGTGTTTGTGCTTTGATCTTCCCTGACATCATAGTAACAGCCTATGCTCAGGTTCTCTTTTTGTTGTTATTTGCTTATTTTACAGCCTATTTTTTGACTTTTAACTCTTTATTAAAGTTGGGCTTTGTTCCTGGGGTACAGGGAGCACCATCCCAAGAGTCAGGGTTTTTTTTTTTTTGTTTTGGTGCAGCTTATTTCAGAGCTAGTTCTGGAAGTCTGTAAATTCTCATTTCTTCCAAGGTGGTATGGTCTAAGGAGAGGCATGGTCACTGCTCTCATGGCCTATGTTCTGGTCTGTTAGTGACCACAGACACTCTTTTCTACCTTGGAACTGTGACCAGAGTCCCTGCTCCCTCATAGCCTCAAGCTCTAGTGTGCTAATGCTCTTCCTCGCCCTGGGACTGTGACCAAGGACTGCAACCCAGATCCGCATGTGGGCTCTTACTAGCAGAGTTCTGTGCCCAATGCTAGTAAGGGGATCTCTGTAACCTCCATCTGACCAGTTGTCCAACCCCCTTACCATCTGTGGGCTGAGAGCTCTGGAAGTCACCCCTGCCAATTCAGTTAGCTCCCTCCAAGGCCTTGCTGCTAGTTTGCTAGGGCATTCCCTGTACTGGATTGTGCTCCACTCTCACCTGGTGCAACACCTGCTGACCTTCTAAATTGTCTTGGGTTAGAAAATTGTTTCACCCTATTCTTTTGTGGGTTCTGCCCTCTAGAATTCATTTTGAGGCATTATTTTAAAGTTGGTTGGAGGAGTACTTGGGAGATCTCAGGTGAGTCCTTGCCTTTACTCCACCATCTTGGCTCTGCCATCTGGGTTTTCAG